TGTACTCCCCCTTCTCGAGGCCAAAACAGGGAGACTTTTGTCACACACTCATATAAAGCCCATTTATTGCCAACGGGTAGCCTTCGTCCCTTTGCAACCATTTAGTCCCGTTTACAAAATACATAGATAAAAACAGCCCTGTTTTCCAGCTCGTGGTCCAACTTTCCAACATTAAATAACCAGCGCCTGTGTGTAAACACACGCACAGTCCGGCCCCGTCAGCCGGCAGGATTTTTAATTCCTGGGAGGAATCACCATGTGGAAGCGGCTGGACAGTAAAGCTGTTACTGAAGGGAGGGAAGAGGAATGATTCAGGGCTGTCTACTGGATAGTTTTCAAAATGCTTTGGCAGTTTGACTCATCTATATACAGAGACTGGAGGAAAAATATAAAAAAACCCACCACAAAGAATGTCACTCTGCTGGAGAGGAGGATGCTGAGTTGTGCCAGCACAACCATGGACATAGGGCTCAAGCGAGATGAAGTTGCAGCTCTTTTGCCTTTGCAATTCATTTAGGCATTGAGGTATCAGAGAACTTAAACACAACAATACATGAGAGTCCCTGTAATTTAAGAAACTCATCTTCTAACCTCTCTGGGGAAGGGACTCATCATTATTGCGCAGCAGCACGTAGCTCTAAGGGACTTGGACCTATCTGACCTCAAAGTTCTCCTGCAACAAAGACGCCAAATCACCTGGACAGCTTTGAGCAGGCTTTCTCTTTCCACTGAACATACGTTAATCCTTCTAGTTGGTTTGGGGATATTTGCCTTCGGAAGAAGAATTCTGACTTCATTAAATACCACAGTGATGGGGTTCATCTCTCCTAGCGACCTTGAGACACTTACTCCGGTTTGTTTGGACGCACTGTGTAACAAGAGATTTTCTGCGTTTCCCCCACCCATGACAAAAAAACCCAACAACACTGTGTTGAGAAATTTCTTAATCCCTAGCATAAGGCCTTTTTTTTTCTTGTTGTCTTGATGCTATTCGTAGAGCTGCCTTCAGCTGTCCCTAAAAAAAAACCCCACAGTTTATACCTCATACTTTTAACTACATCCTCCTTACCACGTGTTCTCCACACGTGTATCGCTTCACAACATCTTATAGAGTTAAGCAGAGAAAAGCAGTGCTCTTCTATCATTACCTGCTTGTCCAAAACTCCAAGTGTGCTTCTGTCTCTTGATGCCCCAAAAGTGAACATTCCGAATAAAATCCTGTGGTGCAGCCCAAAAGTTCAAAACTTTCTTCTTCGAAACGCTTGTCACCTCTGGTTCTCTTACATTAATCCTTTTTTTTTTTTTTTGCCTTTAAGTCAGCAAGCCCTGCATACAAAAGGCAGCAAATGCAACAGAATATAGACCAAAAAAAGAGTGCAAAAAAGCAGTAACAAACTTTCTGCTCACAGCCCTTCCAAACCAAATGACCCCTCCCCAGCCCTTTTTATATACAGCTGAGCTAGAGCTGCTTAATTTCACCTGAGACAACATTTAGGGTTTCAGCTGAGTATCGTTGCTGTGCCAGTCATCTCCCTGCTTTTAAATATGCACTTGGAGCCAAAAAATTAGCACAGAAGCATGACTTGGAAGATTTCAAAGTTTGTTAAGAAGTTAAATATTGTTCTCACTAATGCACTCCTGTTCTATATTCATGTTTTCTTGAATTTACACAAAATCAGGGTCATGCTATTTATTTAGGAGCTTCCGAAGTTTACCAAGGGAACTCTTCAGAAAAAAAAAAAAAGGCCCTAAGAGAATTTTTTTGGTCCCACTTGAAAAGCAAAGAAACTGAGTCACACCCATGTTAGCTGAATTTTAGCAAAGGTCTGTCCCAAAGCCGCAGGCTACGATTCCACAAGAGCTCAGGCTGACCTCAATCAGTGCTGCTTCAGCTCCCACATCCCTGGCTGGGTTTTCCCACTTTCTTCCTTGCGACAGCATTAAGATGTGTTCAGTTTGGGGGTTAACTGATTCAGGGCACTCGAGGTTGCTCCCTGAGATTTTTGGATGCTGGTTCAGTTCCAGATCAAGCAGAGGGGGAGATGGGAGCGATAGGAGTTGGCAACCCAGTTAGAATTCAGTTAACTTCAAAAACTTGCATGTGGTGCCTTTCAAGTCTTGCTCAATGCTGCTGTTACGCAGAAGAAAAAAAAAATTATTTTATTTAGGTTTGTTTTCCCTTTTCTGTAACTGTGGAAATTACAGTGATGCTCGTTTGACTCACTGCTATTTCAAAATAACATTCAAGTGACTAATACCTGAGAAATGCGTGTGTGTCGTTTTGACTCGCAGCTCGGGGCTCCTTTCATCGCCGGGCCTCAGCAGCTGCCGCAAATTGCTTTAAATCGGCGGAGCCCGTCTCGTAACGCACCACGTTTCAGCGTAATTTAATTGGGTTCCCTGCCAAGGAGGAAACTAACACCCCCGAAGCTTTTTGGATGGTGTCACCTTGAGAGCGGTCACCTGTCAGCCCGTGGGGCAGGTATGGATGAGGACGGCCTGACTCAGGTGGTCGAACCACTGCGGTTGGAAAGGCTTCGTCACCAGCCCCCTGGGATATTTGTCCGACTTCTCGCCCCCTTGGGAGGAGGGACGCTGCTGGGGTCCGGCACCAGGGAAGGGCAAATCCCGCTCTGGTTTCCAGCGAGGCTGCTCAGCAGCCAGAGGAGACCGCTGCCTCTTCAACATTTTGAATCCACACTTTTAATCCAAGGCTGGACCGAGCCCTCTTGAAGCAGTAAGCATAAATGCAGCTCATTTCTTGCTTGCTTTTTGAGCTGGAAACGCACCTAGAGAAGCCCGTAGGAAAGCAGCCGTAGCCAAACCTTTTGCCAGTGGTATGCAGGAGCTTCAGTACGCAGAAACTGAAATTTAAACCTGCTATGACTACGGCATGATGCTGTAGAAAACAAGAAGGTGAAGAGCTGCTAAGCACAGCGTGTTTCGTAAAGCACTCGCCCAAACGCCAAGTCTTGGGCAGCCAAGTTTGCGAAGGTGCAGATGTGGTAGAAGTACAGATTGTTTTAAGATACGTCAGATTAAAATGCAAAATGAAGACCCATTCTGAGTCAGTTCAGATATTTGGTGATTAAGGCTTAAAGATCAAAAAAAACTCCCTTTGGCCATAAATGCTTAATCCTTTGTTGGAATTCTGCTTGATTTGCACTCAGCTTTTAGGTCTCCCCCTCCTAACCTGCAGTGGGCCTTGCAGATGAAGTACACATTGCCACGTAATGAAATCTCATTTTCTATCACAGGATCGTCGCAGGTGCACAGGGACGTGACAGCTTTACTTGCTGCAAAACTCACTCGCTCCTTTTCGGCACGGACAGATTCGCTCTGCCTTATGCCCTATCCGAAATGCTACAACTTTGTTGGAGTGTAAATCAGCTAAATTTGGCATCGAGTAGTACTCTAGATAATATATTTGGTGCTACTGGAGGCGATTAGGTTTCAATACAAAGTGTGGGAGCATCATGATGTGCCTCCTCATGGGTGTGAGGACTGGGACCGTGCTCTCCGCAGCTGCCCGGGACTGCTCGGGTCTTGGTTCCTCTCGTGTTTTGGCAGCGACTCACGGTTTTGCTGGATGGCTCTGGTTGGTTCCAGGGGAAAATCCAGGAAGAGCCGTGTCGAGACTCGCTGGGTTAGGTTTGTATGCGTCTGAGGGCAAAGGATGCCGGGGAGAAAAGGTGAAATCAGGCCCTCGTGGCTCTCGGCGGGGGGCTGCTCCCTCCTTCTGCACACGCACGTATTTAACGGTGAAGACAGATCCAATGAAACGCAGGCAGTGAAGATTTAGCGCTTCCGAAGCTCAGCCTGTAGCTCGATTGTGTCGGGAAGCACCGTTCCCGATTTCGGGGTTCTGAAATGAGGCTCGAGGGATTTCAGCTCTAATCCCGTGTCCTTACGCAATCTGTTTCATTCATCGCCCCGAACTGAATCGCTGCAGCTGAGCAGCCTGAGCGCAGAATCCTCTTACCCTGTAGCTTTCCTCGCCGTATGACTTCACCTGGAAATAGAAGTTGGCTGTAATTAGACGCGGGGCTCGCATCTGCCCCGCACTTGCTACGAGGAGCCCTAATTCAGCATGGAGGAAGCCCCAGACCTGTAACCGAGACCCTTCCCAGGGAACAGCCATGACAGCTCCTGCTCCTGTGTAGTGCCAAGACGCTGCTTTGGTTATCTGCATCAGTCAGAAAAAAACCCACAGTGCTTTCAGCTCCTAAAGGGGACACCTGTGGTCTTGTTTAGTTGGACTAGCTGAAAAAAAACAGCACCATAACCCTGAACTAGTTTCCTCAAATCCAACCCAGTGAGTTATAGCTAAGAGCTTCGTAACTGTTGCAGACAGTTGTAGCAGGGACGTGTGTGTGAGGAAAAAAAAGCATCCTGTAGACCAGCTGCTCTGGATTTGTATAAAATCAAGGCTTGTGTGTTGTGGGCATCTGGGGAGGAAAAGGCCAGCGAACGGCAAATTCAGCTATCCTTGTGTTTTTAAACCAACAATTCCTCTTCCCCAGCCTCCAGTCTTTCTCAGCATAACGGGCTCGGGAGCTACAGAGGGAAGCTCCTCACTCTGTCATCTGGAAAATGTACGTTTTCTGAGCAGGACATAGGAGCTGTCTGCTGACAACAGGCTGGAAAATGCGATCGGTTGCATTTGTGTGTGCGCAGGCTCACCCTTGAGATGTGAGTGCATCCGATATCCACGAGTTGGACTGGCCTGAAGCCCTGGATGCACGAGAACAGCGAACGAGAATTTTACCTGAGCTCGTTTTTGTCTCTTAGGCCATGAGGAGTAAAAAGATCTTCACTGATACTGAGCATGAAAAAGCACAAAACAGTGAAGTTAGGTAGTTAATGGGAAAATTGAGCTAATTCCCCTTTGACTGCACTATTCATGGTCCCTGGGGATGATAATCTGGCAGGGTAAGAAGGAAGAAACGTTGTCAAGTGGCAGACGGTAACGGTTGTGATGGTCTTTCAGACTAACAGGGATGCCAAAGGAAAAATATGATCCTCCGGATCCTCGCAGAATTTACACCATCATGTCAGCAGAAGAGGTAGCCAATGGGAAGAAGTCGCACTGGGCTGAGTTAGAGATCTCGGGTGAGTTGATTCCGTTTCCAATTCCGTTTCGGCGGAGTTCTTAGCGCCCCAGAATCGTTTTCACATAAGGGCCTCTGGTGTGAAAACGATTTTTCTGAGCTGGCACAGGAGATGGGATAACCAGTTTAGCAGATCGCCTTCAAGCTTGGCTGGTCAAGCCCAGTTGATTTAAAACACCAGCTCAGATTGGACGCGAGTTTTTGGGTAGCGCATCTGCTTCCCTAGAACTGGACGTCTGTCTCTATGCTTTGAACTGGGAGGCTTCAATAATTATTTAAGACACACCAAGGTATCTTCTTCAAGTTGAGCGTTCCAGTCAAGTTTCCACACTGGAAATCCCACCTTCTGACATCCCCCATATCTTTGAAAGTGCAAACCCGACTGAAGAGGTGGTTCTTCGCTTTTCTTTTTTTAGGTAGAGTGCGGAGCTTAAGTACGTCGCTTTGGTCGCTGACCCACTTGACTGCTCTGCACCTCAATGACAATAACCTTACTCGCATTCCACCTGATATTGCCAAGCTTCATAATCTGGTTTACCTGGATCTGTCATCCAACAAACTCAGAAGTTTACCAGCAGAACTAGGAAACATGGTATCTCTCAGGTGAGCGAAATTATGCTGGCAAACCTGGCAAAAATCTATATTCTGGGATATAGCTTTTGCTTTCCATTCTTGTATTTTTAAAAAAAAAAATAAATCAAGACTGGCGCAAAGCTTCAGTTTGAATAATAACTTTGGAGTTCATTATCCTTCTTTTCTGATCTCTGCAAATACCTGTCTGTAAGCTGTGTCTGTCTGAAACATTCTTTGAGACTTGGTGATTGCCTGCTGTTTAAATTCTGATTTCATTTTGTGTTTTTGGGGGTTTGTGGCTTTTTTTCCTTCTCCCCTTAGATTTTGATCGTGCTTTGAAACGGGAAGATTGGCATATCTTTATTCTAGAATACAAAAACATTCGGGGTGAGAAGTGTCATCCTGCAAGATGAGGAGCATAGAGCATATTAAGGGTTTTCTTCTGAAGTGATACTCATCAAAAGTGTTCTTGCTTTTGCTGCAGGGAATTGCTTTTAAATAACAATCTGTTACGGGTTTTGCCTTACGAGCTTGGACGGCTCTTCCAGCTACAAACCCTGGGTTTGAAAGGTGAGTTCTTTACAGTTAAATATTCCTACGAGTACTCTTGAGTTACTGAGGGGGCCGGGCTCAAAAGCTTCATGTCTTACCTTAACGTTTCCTCACAGTGTATTCGAGACAAGCTTCTAGCAAAAATGACCAGCCCATTCGAAAAATGATGCTTTGCTTTTTTAGTGCAATTAAATTTCTTTACGAGCCTATTTCAAATCTGTAGATGGGTAAAGAAACCCTTTAATCTACTCTATTATTGATCAAGACGAGTCGAAGGAAGAAAGTCTATGCAGGCGAGCTGTTTCTATAGCACCTCTTACTGTGGCCTTCTACGGTTCCACGTTAAGCAGCCTAAATATCGACTTGTCGGTTCTCCTCATGGGAGGTTTTCTTGGGTTGGGAAGCACTCGAGAAAGTCAAGCAGCTAATCACCCCATTGTTTTCTGGGTTTTTTATGCTGTTGGCAGGCAATCCTTTATCACAAGATATTCTCAGCCTCTACCAGGATCCAGACGGAACTCGAAAGCTACTGAACTACATGCTTGACAATCTAGCAGGTGAGGGCCCTACAAATCTACCTGCCAGAAGTGGTTTAAAACGCGCGTTTCGGGCAGCGTTTGCTGCCAAAAGGAGAACGCGAACCGACGGAGGGAGAGTTTTTGTCACGTGGTTCCAGTCGTACGCACAAACACACGCCCGCACGCAGGGGAAGAGGTTGACATCTATCGTCTAAGCTATTTTCCAACCCTTCACTTACCTACAAAGTACAAAGTCTTCCTTGCTGAAGCCACTTTGATACTTTCCAGTAGAAGTTCCAAGCCCGATGCAAGCAGGATGTCCAATTTAGTTCCAGTCGTTAAGAAGATCCAGTCCCTGACTTAAACCCTCCTTCGTGGTTCCATCACTCACCTTCCCATTTTGCCTGCTTCTTCACAGCGCAGGAGTATTTTAGTGGTGCTTCTAGATCGGAAAGAAGAGACAAAAATAGGCATGAGTTGTACAACTGACAAATTTCCTCTCACTATTACCAGCCTTTTCAAGGATTTTTGCCTCCCCTGAAACATAAAAGGACTTGGGGAGCTGGGGTTGCAGCGCACACTATGAAGCATTATTGTTCAGTCATCATTTTGACGTAGAAATTGTAACTGACAAATGTAAACTCTGAATTAATCACTGTTGTTTGTTTTTTTTTTAATAGTTCATCCAGAGCAGCTGCCTCCAAGGCCATGGATTACTTTGAAAGAACGAGACCAAATTCTGCCCTCAGGTAAATCTGTGGTTCTTACCCTCTGCGGTCACGTAATGATACGCCGAAAAGCTTTTCTTGGGTTTTATTGTCAGAGAAATCTTCTGTCTTGCATGGATCTGACTGAAAACAGCAATTTGCACGCGCTTGTACTAAAACAATTAACGCAGAGCTGTGCTGTAAATAAAATTTTTTGTAACAGGAAAGGGATGCCACTCATTTCTTTCCCATGTCAGGCTTTTTTGTAACTGTTCAGCTACTGACGCCCAAGCCAAAAAGCTCTTTTAAAACAATTAATTTCTCAGAAGTAATAACAAGTGTACGATAAATTGATACAAATGCCGTGTCCACGCACAGGCTTTGAGCAGTGTGGATCTGTGAGTGAGCCCGTGGAGTGCCGGGTGCTGGTTGGTTCAATGCCCTCTATTGTTGCTTTTGGTAAAGTGCAAGAGGCTGCACTTCAGGTCTTCCTCCCCTCAAGAAAAAGATCCCTTGGATGAAGAAGGCAGCTAATAATGTTACTGTGGATAGTCAGGTTAATAACCAGCCAGAATCACGTGGCAGTGCTCCGTACTTTTTCTTTTTAGAAGCGTGCAGGAGGCAGGTCTTGAAAACTGAACTGCATTTCTGTTTCCCTTTCAAATCAGTATCTCAGCTGAATTTGACATTTTTGTTATTCTACAGCTGCAACAATGAAACGGCAGAAATCTTTGACTACAAGTATAAAAATACAGGGCTGTGGGGTAGCCCCACAGTAAAACCTCGCTTCCTTCCCTGCAAGAAGGAGCAGTCTTTTCCAGCGGCACGATGCGGGACGTTGCTCTTACCTATCTCCTTTCCTTGGCGTGAAGTCAACGGGAGTCGAGAAGTTGGCGCACGAAAGCAGCGTGTTTCCAAGTTGAACGCTCCGAAGAGCCGCACGCTGGCTTCTTTCGAAAAAGTGACCAAATAATCTATTAGGTCTTTGCAAATCTATTCTAAATGAGCATTTCTGCCTGATGCTGTGGTGTCCTGACATCGTAACGGCTTCTTTAGCAGCCGTGTTTTGCTTTTTGCTTTAGAACCCTGCAGGTCACTTAAACGCCTGAAGTTGCTGTATGGAGGCAAGCTCGGGCGATAAATTCCAGGGTTGGACTCCATCACAAAACGCTCCTTTCCCTCTCTCCTTTTCCGAACTGACTGCCAAATGGGATCGCTTGGCTTTGTGACACACACTGACACCCTCTCGTTTCAGTAGTAACACTGATTTTTTTCAGGAAGAGTTTAGCCTTGCTGGCTCAGCAGGGCCTTTTTAATTCGTGCTCGTGAAACACTCAGTGGAATAAGCCTTGTGTTCAGTAAGCCCTCCAGAACAGACCATGCAAGATTCAGTATTTTGGCTTGAATAAGTTCAGTGTTTCTCACCTTCCAAGGTTGATAACCTGTCCCTTTCTTGCCTTCTAGCTTCATTCACAGTTATGTGTTACAACGTGCTGTGCGATAAATACGCCACGCGGCAGCTCTACGGCTACTGCCCGTCTTGGGCGCTCAATTGGGAGTATAGAAAAAAGGGAATCATGGAAGAGATCGTCAACTGTGATGCAGATATCATCAGTCTTCAGGTAACTGCAAAAAAACCTCTTATTTTCCATCAGAAACCGGTACAAGCTGTGTGCACAGCTTGTTGTGCACGCACCGGCTTGTGTTTGACAAAACAAGACAAAGCAAGATAAAAATTAACCAAATTACCAGGTAATTTGCATTGGAAGATATAGGTCTTTTAGGTAATTTGCATTGGAAGATATAGGTCTTTTCCTCCATCAGATAAAAATCCTAAATATTCTCTCCTCCCTGTGTGTCTACGGGGTTTACTGCAGAAAGGGAGAATGTAGAATGCTCTAACCCCAAATGCCACTTTTCCTAGTCCATTCCTGCCTGGTAAAGAAGTTAAAACCTCAAAAAAACTCTCGTTGGCAAACAAGGGGACAAAGTTAAATATCAATTGTCATTGGTACGTGCATCCTACTGTGTTATTAGAAACGCATTGCCAACCTTCAGAGCAGCTGAACTTTTCTGCCTTTAAACTGACCCTTCATTTTTTCAAAGAAGTTCTGCAAAGCAAAAATCTTACGCGTGAAGCGAGTCTTGCTTCTTGGTCTGAAAACCACAGGAGATCAAGCTCTGAAATCCTCCTGGAGACCAAATGTTAGTGCAAAGAAAAGGTATTGTTACCAAACAGCCAGGGACCCTCGTGCGAAAGAGCTCTCCAGATTAAACATTCATCGCTGCCGGATACCTGTCGACCTCTCAAAGTTTTAGGCTAGGACGGTATCCACCTTCAGATTTCGAAATTATGGGGTGTAACCTATTGCTGTTCCAAATCCACCTGTCCCTTTCCCTTTTGGGGGAGATTCCAGGATATCCAGGAATGCAAATCTGTTGCCAGATCTAGGGAACTACACGATTTGTGCAAACACAAGCGTTTTGCTTTGGTGGGAGCTGCTGACTGCGAGCCAAGGCAGGCCTAAGTTGATTCACAGCGAGAGGAAGGGTTTTGCTTGACTTCGTTAGCCTCAGATATTTGTGTTCAATTCCAGGAAGTGGAAACGGAGCAATACTTCACCCTTTTTCTGCCAGCCTTGAAAGAACGAGGATACGACGGGTTCTTTTCGCCGAAGTCACGTGCCAAAATCATGTCCGAGCAGGAGAAGAAGCATGTGGATGGCTGCGCAATATTCTTCAAAACGGAAAAGTAAGGGAAGGGGGTGGAAGCAGCTTTCTAAAAAAAAAAACAACCAACAACAAAAACATTAAAACCACCTTGATTTAGGTCAGAAAGCTTTCCTCGAAAGCGTTACAATTTCCTTGAAACGTTACCCGATTGAAAACTTAGTCCATACAGTTGTGCTACACTAAAAACGTCAGACTGGTGGGAAGGGAGGAGAGGTGTTGCCTCTCTCACTTCTCATCCGTCTCCGAATACTCCCTCAGAACAGTTTTCAGTGATCAGAATGGAAGTTTTGCGAAGCCTTAGCTCCCTTTCAGAGTTTTCACTGCTTCCAGAAACAAAAATATGCCTTTCAGATTGTGTATAAAAACTCGACTAGAGGAAGCCTGAGAAAACAACCAAGTGATGTTTTTCAAACCTTGAAACTACCAGGGATGTAAAGAGAAATGGTTATTACCCTGTGGCTCTCACAGGTGAAAACAGAAGGCTGATGATACTCTTTTTTTAACTTTTCCTAGACCAGAAGACAACAAAAAAAAAGAACAAAACACCCTTCAGTAGGGAGCCTTCAGCTTGTCCTGAAGCAAGGTGTTTTCAGGCATCCTGAAGGTGGAATGAAAAACCAATTTCACCAAACTAACGGTGGTAGCTAGCGGCTTGACAGAAGCTTTTTTTTAATAATGCATTAGCTCAAAGTAAAAGGCAAGCCTTTAATTACCGGCTTGTCTTATTTTTTTTGCGGAAGTGCGGTAACTGCAGAGCACTGCTCATCTCGCTTGCCAGCCCTGATTGGGGCAAATATTCCTTAGAACTGTTTTTACTTTATAAAAGGAGAAGACATAAGAAACGTGCCTCACCCCCTCCTGCAGGCTCTCTCCTTGGGAGACCGGAGCGTGGACCGTGCGGCCGTCCCTCAGACACGCTCACGTGCGGTTCTCTGTGTTTCGTCAGGTTTACGCTTGTGCAGAAGCACACGGTGGAGTTCAACCAGGTGGCCATGGCCAACTCGGAAGGCTCGGAAGCGATGCTGAACAGAGTGATGACGAAGGACAACATCGGAGTGGCCGTGGTGCTGGAGGTGCATAAGGAATTGTTCGGAGCAAGTGAGTACGACTGGTTCTCTCACTGATTGTTCGGTTCCATGGGAAGGCAGGAGTTATTCCTAGAGAATGCAGCTCTCTAGGATATCTGGGCCAGTGGTGGAGGTACCCAGACAATTGCAGGGGAGCCAACGCTGTTCGCTGTGCTCCTTCGAGAAGCGATAGCTCAGCGGTGGCTAAGACAGGACACAGACGACATGATGTCCGGTCGCACTCGCAGCCGGATGCCCCGCGTTTCGCTTTCTCCTTTCATGCTTTTGTCGCTGCCTACATATTCTGTTAAACTCTACTTGAAGAATTAAGCTTTTCCAAGGTCGCTGTGTTTACGTGCATATGCTCTTACCAGTAGCCGTCGGTAACGTTCAACTTCTATTTTCAACTCTCTTTTTTTTCCCCTTGATTGAATCCTTCCATCCTCCCCCAGCGATTGTACGACAGTGCTAATGTAGTGCTGTGGAGGAATGACATTATCAGGTATCTTTTCATGCCACTTGATTGACTGGCTGTCACATTCTCATTAAGTTTGATCAGATGCAGAAGACAATTTCAACGCACTGAAAATTGCCACCCTGCTCCGTCTGCGTGTCTGGGTTTTTTGATCGCTTGTTGCCAGCGTTTCTCTTCAAAGGGGCAGAACGTCTGAATTGCAGGACGGCAAGGAGCTGCCCGTGACTTCGTGCCCCATCTTTCAGATAAACACTTCTCAGATAAATAGGAAAAGCAGCCAAGCTAGAGTTTTGCAGCATTCCTTTAAGCATCCTTAAGTTTTTCCCAAGGGAACAACTTGCAGCTACGGGTCAGAAAACTCCCTCGTCCCTTTAAATACTGAATAGTTACATCCACTTGAGCAGCCAGAAGGGATGCAATTGTACCAGTATCAGATTTCTTCCCTATATCGGAGGGAATTACTTGCCTTGTGTTATATCAATGCTATATTATGTCAATGACTTAGAAAGGAGTAGTTGTTCAGAGAATGCCTGTGTTTTTCCAGCAAGGAGAGCCCATCCGTCTGCCGGCGTGTCCGACTCAGAGTCCTTGGTATCCAGACCCTGAATGTTAACAGGCACGGACGGCCTCGGGCATATTCGCACAATCAGACTTTGCCTGATAAAAATGTATTTGTTCATCCAGGTATGAAATCGCTTCACGTGGACAAACAGCTGCTTATTGTGGCCAATGCCCACATGCACTGGGACCCCGAATACTCAGACGTCAAACTCATTCAGACCATGATGTTTGTCTCGGAACTGAAAAATATCCTCGAGAAAGCTTCAAGCAGGCCCGGGAGCCCAACAGCGGATCCCAACTCCATCCCTCTGGTGCTGTGTGCGGATCTCAACTCACTGCCTGATTCGGGTAAGACTCGTTTTGGTTTCATTTTTTAACTTACCTTTTTCAAATGTTCAAAACCTCTCTTCTGAAGAGCAAAGGGGTGGCTTGCACTTCCCTGGGTAGGTGTGGATGAAAGCTTTCTGAGCTGTCTCTCAAACTCTGGCTGAAGAGAATGCAAGTCTTCCAGTTGAGTAGACTTCTGTGGTCGGTTGTACGGGCCAGACGAGCTGGTTAAACCTAAAAAGCAACAGAAAAGGACAAATGGATCGTAAATAAATCCTTAAATAAACCCCCGTGCTTTGAGCAACAGTAATAAGTAGGAAGGAGGCGAGTTTGTGATGGTACATGACGACTTCCTAACTCGTGCGGTGTCGTGTTGGCGTGTCGGTTTGTAACTCTGAGGCCGACGTTCCCCGAGTGTTTTATTTTAAAGCGACTCCCTGAATCCTTTCCTCCGCAAACAGGTGTAGTGGAATACTTAAGCAACGGCATAGTAGCCGACAACCACAAGGACTTCAAGGAGTTGCGTTACAACGAGTGTCTCATGAACTTCAGCGGCAACGGGAAAAACGGGGCTTCTGAAGGAAGGATCACGCACGGCTTCCAACTCAAGAGCGCCTACGAAAACAACTTGATGCCTTACACCAATTACACTTTTGATTTCAAAGTAAGCAGCGATTTTTCTGAAATGGCAGGCACTGACCTGGTCTCCCCAGGACGCTGTCTGAGTTTTCTGACCGCTGGCTGCCTTTCCCTCTGGTCCTGTAAAAGCGCTTCGTCACTGGTTCCTACGCTCGCCGGACGCTTTTCCTGCCGCACACAAACCCTCCGTCCGCTGGCGGTTTTTAAGCTCCCGACCGGGCTCCGGCCAGCGACTCACGCCGCGGGGGCGTTTCTTACCCCAAAACCCGGCGCTGCGCCTCATGCCGCGACCGGCAGCCGGAAGGCGGTCGAGCGAAGGTTTGCCCGAAGCGAGGTGTGTTCTCACTGTCGTGTTTCTCTTTCTCCCTAGGGTGTGATTGACTACATTTTCTATTCCAACACTCACATGAACGTGCTTGGTGTCCTGGGGCCTTTGGACCCTCAGTGGCTGGTTGACAACAACATCACTGGGTGTCCACACCCTCACATCCCTTCAGACCACTTCTCACTGTTAACACAGCTAGAACTCCATCCTCCGCTCCTGCCTCTTGTCAACGGCGTGCACTTGCCCAGCAGGAGGTAGTGGAGCCCTCGCCCCTCCGAGGGCAAGGACCTGTCGTTACGGACCTGTACAGTTGTAAATCCCAGTATATAGGAGTGAAGTATGGCCAACCTTAAGCTGCTGCTTCTTCGAGCTCCTTTCCTGTTGTGTTTGAGAGGAGATTTTTGCACGTTTTGGTGCAGACTGGTATCATTTGGCACTAGGGCTGGAACCAAAGTATTACTCCCTGTCCAGGTTTTTAATTGTTTTTCAAACAGGCAAGCTCTTCTTTGTTGTTTGGGTTTTTTCATCCGTAGGAATCTGCACTTAAAAATGGACAAACAAGATTAAAAACTCGCATATTAATATCTGTTTTTCAAGATAACGCTTTTTTTTTTCCCCAGAACGTAGCAAAACGAGCCAACCTTTTAGGAGAAAGAAAAGCAAACCCAGAAATGCTTGTTTCCTAGAAAGAATATTAGAAAAACCCTTTGTCTGAGCTCAAAACGGGAGACTGAACTCGGCATCCGAAATAAATTTTGCACAGTAGCGAACGAAGCACTTAATACCCAACTATTAAAAAAATATATAATTTAAAAAAAAAAACAAACAACTGGGGCCCTGCCCAATATCAGCAAACCAAAGATGGCTTCATACCGGCGATAAAATTTAAATTCTCCTGCCGCCAAATTTCCGACGAAGCTACGGCTGGCGGGGCTGGCGGAAGAGGTCGCTGATCCGTCCCAGGTTCCCTTTTCCAAAGTTCGGTTCCAAAGACGGGAAACTTGGGATTAATGGCTTAAGCGTAGGGTGTGGGCAAAATCAGCTGGAAATGAATCTTCCTTTTGTCTCCGGAGCCGTAGCCATTCCTCGGATTATTTTTCCTCACCTTAGTTGCCAAACGGCTGCCACGCTTTTTTTAATAATCTTTCTTTTCCGTTGTCGGTCAGGGTCGAATTAAAAAAGCTGCTGGTTCATTCCCAACTGTAAATGCTATTTGGATATGTTCCAAATCCTTTTTTTTTTTTCCCTCTTCTTTTTATGCTCTAGGTGGCCAGTTCAAAACCTCGTGCCTCGAGGGGCGTTAAACATAATGCGATTTTCTGAAAAAACCTGGTTGGCTGCTTAATGTTAAGGAAAAAAAAAAAAAAGGCACAGTGACAGGAAAAGGTTGTGTCTGTGTTTTTAAGTTTTTCTTTATTCTGCTTTTTTGCTGCTATAAGATTTTCTTGAATTTATATTTTAAACTTTTCATGCACTTTACTGTTTCTAGTCTCAAAATGTGATATTTTTAATAAATGAAAATTTTTTGCCATTACGTGAATGAAATTTTTAAATAGATCGATAACCTATATTTATGTCTCATTCGTACGCTTCAAAAAAAAAAAAAGTCAAATTTCAATTGTGAAATCCATTTTAAATACTAAGGAGCCATCTCCTGTCTCGCAAAACTGCTAAGTCAGGCAGTTCCTCTACTCTTTAATTAAAGGTTTCCTTTGTTGTTTCATACGTAGGAAATAATTTATAGGGGAGAAAAAAGAAAAACAAATAATAAATCA